TCTTGGACCAATACGACCATCGTCAATAGCCTCGGCAAGTCCCTCTTCCAAGGGCCTGGCTTCCATGTACAGACGGTTGTGCTTATTAGGTGATTTGCTCATAACAGTGCGACACGACCTCTCAAGAACAGTCTCACGGAAGGACACGACTGGATCAGATTTAATGATTTCAGCACCACCCATGAAATCATCTTGTAAATCCTTCAAACATATCTCCAGGTGGAGTTCTCCAGCACCAGCAATGATATGCTCACCGGACTCCTCAATGCTACAGACAACCATAGGGTCTGACTTGGCCAAACGCTTCAGACCTTCAACAAGCTTCGGAAGGTCAGATGCAACCTTGCACTGGACGGCAACACGCACAACGGGTGACACGGAGAACTTCATTGCTCTAATTGGATGAGCGTCTACTTCCTTTTCATTGGTCAGGGTTGCATTTTTGGTTATGTATTGATCTAGACCAACCATAGCCACTGTGTTCCCACACGGTACATCCTCCACAGTTTCCTGCCTCTTACCCATCCAAATAACAGTTCTCTGGACACTCTTGACGTACAAGTCCTTTTTCTCCCCGGGGACGTAGTTAGGACCCATGATTCTGACCTTCAAACCAGTCGAAACCTTTCCGGAGAACACACGACCAAATGCAAAGAACCTGCCCTTGTCAGATGCCGGAATCATCTTCGACACATAAAGCATAAGGGGGCCATCAGGATCACAGTTCCTAATAGCAGTAGCATAAACATCGTCCATAGGTCCCTCGTACAAGTTCTCCACACGGTACCTTTGTGCCTTAGAAGGTGATGGGAGGTGAAAGATCATCATTTCCAAGAGCGCAGTACTAGCTGGAAGCCAGGTCTGCATCACACGCTTCATTAATGGCTTGCCCATTAAATCCTTCTCATCAGACTTCATGACAACGCTGAGCTTCTGTAACATGGGCCAGAGCTTATCTTTCTGATCATTCATGCAAGTGTTAATAATCTGCTTGATGGGCTCGTAACAGAATTGAACAAATCCACGTTTACATGTAGCTGAACCGGTATTCTTGGTGGTCCACTTCTTAGTGGCTGGATCAAAGAAATTCTCTCCCCAAAGCCTTTCCATCATCTTGGACTCGTCAACACCAAACTTGGAAGCATACATCTTTGCAAAGTTCGTAAGCGTGAAAGCCCAGCCGTGCAAACCAGCAGAAAAGGCAACAGTACCTTTCTCCGGGTAAACCTGAACATCGCCCAAGAGAGGGTCTTCATAAGTAGCCATGATGACATTTGCATTTTCAATGACCCTCTGGAATGTTTGGTAAGCCTCCTCTCCATCAACCTGGAGCTCAAGGAAGCACCTGTCCATCTTGTTAACCGTCAAGACAGGTCGAATCCTTTCTCCAAGGGCCTGTCGGAGGACAGTTTCTGTTTGGACACAAACGCCTTCAACACAGTCTACCACAACAAGAGCCCCATCAGTAATACGAAGTGCGGCTGTCACTTCCGATGAGAAGTCGACGTGTCCAGGAGAATCAATAAGATTGATAAGGTACTCGTTGCCATTTCGCTCTCCCGTGTAGCTCTTCAAAGACGCGTCAGACATCTCGTAATACAGAGAGATACCAGTTGACTTGATAGTGATACCACGCTCAGCCTCATCAGCACGGGTATCTGTCATTCTAACGTCACCAGCAACTTCTTGAGCGATAATACCAGCAGCAGCGACAAGAGAATCGGTAAGTGTGGATTTCCCTGTTACAACAAAATGAATACTACAATCAATACGTGCATCAAGGCAGTCATGGTAGCATAACGTGCATTATACTGTAAACAAAGATGAACCACACAGTAACAAAGTATGTAAATATACTATCGAGTCAAAAATAAATGTAAGAAGTTTCCACACCGTGATCGACATGAGCAATAACCGACATATTACGAATGTTGTGCTTGTAGTCCATAATCCTGCGGAGCTCATCAGCTGTGAACTTCACCTGCAAAAATCAAGGAAAATTTATCCATTGAAAACCCAAATTACCTGGTGCAAAGGCAAAGGCTGTCTTTAAAAATGAAAATCAACTTTTCATGCTTACCATTTTGACAGGTTTCTAAATTTCACAACCAAAAAAACACCTGCCATCCAAAGAACCAAAAAAAAAATTCAAAATTAGAAAAAGTCAAAAAGAAAATCAACCATAAAGAAATGACAGGACTATACCTAGAGTTGCTATACCTGAAAAGCAATTTGCTCTATCACAAATAGATGTCAAATTAAAATCCATGCCCAAAGACCACAAGAAAATTCATTTCATTAAATTTATCAACTCCCAGTTTCCCCTAACCACTTTGTACTTCTCATATTATCCATAGTACCCAGATTAAACGCTAAAGGCACAGGGAAAGAAGTCATAGCACCATTCTGAAATGACAAGTCAACATTTTTCTCGAGCTTTCAAAGACATCGACCCAGACTAGTGAAAGAAACTAAAGCAATTTTAGCATAATCAACATTTCTGTGACAAAATTCGAACAAGAGCACAAAAATTGAAAAAAACTGAAATTCACTTCCATAAATCCAAAAGGAGCACTTCAGCTTCCGATCAAGCTCTCCAAAGCAAAATCTTTTACTGAAACATTATGTAAAAATAACACCTCGTGCCAAGTATGAGCAATATAACCCAATAAAAATTAGATCCGGCGAAACAAAATTGAATTCTTGTCCTCAATGTTTTTCTATTGAATATATTAATAAGAAAATCTAGGATTTAAATCTATAAATTATCTGCCACTCTACAACTTAGCAACGTAACAGAACATCCAATCTGTAAATTAAAAATTTCTCGATCTCGAGAGACCAAATTATTCATATGAACGCTTAAAAAAAATCAAATCGATAAAAAATTTACTTGCAATCGGATACTGAAAGATTCATAAAATCAGAGAGACAAACTTACAGATTTAGAGAGGGAGGACGAGGCGGCTGCTCTCAGTAACCTTATGCGATTGAACACAGAGACAGAGATATAAAGTGAGGGGCGGAAAGTGTCCTCGAAACCCTAATATAAGCGAAGGGTCAATGCGTTCTCGTGCGGTTTGTTTTCATACAGTTCCCTCAGATATGCATATATTTTTGTTGCCATATTCCAGATAAAACTGAAGGTCATCGGGCAGCACTTGAAGATATTGCAGTATAGGTTTGGGCTTGACGGAATCGTGATAGTTCGGGCTGACAGCCCAATAAACAGCTAAACCTGCATAATTCCACCGAATAAGGTCCAATCCGACATTTTAGAGGAGATTACACAGAATAATAATAATTGCACATAAAAAGTTAAAAAAGTTTTGAAAAATGATAAGTGTAAAAAAAAAGTGATTTTTTTTTTATTTGGTTGAAGAGATTTTGATCCAATCATATCTCACCACATCACGTATTTATAAAACATTCTGTAAGTGATGATGTATACATAGCAGCAGCAGCAGTAGTAGCAGTAGCACAACGAAATTAAATATACCCTTATTTTTTTATTTTTCTTTTCGAAATTTAAAATTTAAAGTTGTTTTTTTTCAAAACTCAGGTATGTACTATGCTCCACCCACCTATCATCAAGTCCATTTTTTCCAAATTCTGAGAACTCACTTTGCATCTCCACCTTCACCCCACATCCTTCACGATTTGGGTGGTGCCAACAATAGTGGAATGTGGAGGGGCGAAGAATGATTATGACTAATTAATTATGATCTTGTGACTAATGAATGATATGTGATACGTTAATTGGATGATTGGTTACATAAGACGGGGCTTTTCGATGTATGAGTTGTGTGACATGCGATTGTAATCATGTGTGATTTTGTGATCAGTATGTAATTGTGATCATAAGTTGTGTAATTGTTTGTGACTGTGACATGTTTGATTAAACATTTGTCACAATATTTTATCAAGGTCACAGAAAATATGACTACTTGATTTTTAAAAGATTTCATCAAATTTGTTAAATTTAAAACTATACTTTAAAAGTATGATAGTTATGTATTTTTCTTAAGTACAATCAAATATGCTTTTGACATCGCCTTCTGCGCAAATAGAAAGAAGATGAACATTACCATTTTAAAATACAGACACGTTCGAATTCTAAAAATACAATGTTCATCTCTTTATTGATATTTTTCTACTCAGTAGCTTAACTTGAAGAGTTTCAAGACAAACGACATCAAATCAACAAGCTAATATTCATCTTTTTCTCCAAAAAGTATATACAAAAATATATTAATGGGTGTTCTGAATTGAAATTTTAACAGATAAATTCTAAAACATTTTCATCTCTTTATTGATATTTTTCTACTCAGTAGCTTAACTTGAAGAGTTTCAAGACAAACGACATCAAATCAACAAGCTAATATTCATCTTTTTCTCCAAAAAGTATATACAAAAATATATTAATGGGTGTTCTGAATTGAAATTTTAACAGATAAATTCTAAAACATCTGTCCCGTAAATATAAGTTTGTTTTTCAATTTCGTCTGTCCCAAATTATAGACAACATCTTTGTTGAGAGTATAGTTAATTAATTTTTTAATATATCCCTAATGAATGTAACTTGTAATCAACAAATATGAACAACTCTTTTTTAAATTATTATTTAATGCATGGATATATTAGAAAAAATTATAAATAAATTTTATATTTTCAACTATATTAATTACATTTTCTTAATTCGTGCGAAAATAGTGGAATGAAGGAATAAATAATTTCTTATATTTAATAGATTTCCACATCATACACAAGAATTTCATTTGTACTTTTAGCTTGAAATCCATCTAAATATCATGAAATTCCCTTATTGATAAATTTCTTATAAATCCACAAGACATTTTTAGTGAAAGTGCATTAAAATTTCAAATTCGGACACATAAATTTATATAATTTAGTGCATTTGGTCGAAAAAGATACATTCTGTATCTCTACGAAGTCTCTAAATTATTTAAAGACCAATAAAAGGACTTCAATATTTCAAGGAAACGAACAAATAACAAACTTTAGGATAATCTTATCATAGCATTTGCAGCATCCGAAGTTTAACCAATCATCCTTCTATTCCAAACAAAACATAACAAAAATTCAAAAGTCCCATAAGCTGAGACGGGCTAAGGCTTACGGACTCTCATAGGACAGGACAAAAGCCATTTAGGTTCGTCTCTTAAGATAGCAATACACACTATTTTACTTTCTTGAGTAGGGCAGATGTTTGGTATTCAGCATCATCCTTGATGAAACTCCACCAGACGTACGTAAGAGGGATAGTGGTAGCATGCCAAAGAGCGTGTGCATCAACTAGTCCTTCGTATGGAGGGAAGTCATAGATCTCTAGCATCATTGAGAGGCCACCTCCTACAACCACAATCCACAACTTCCAGCGAGAAGGATGACCGGTGACACCAGCCCAGACTGCCCAAACGAGAAGTTGAGCAACAGCCATCACAACACACACTTTCATATTCCACCCTGTCAAATCTTCCAGAGTTGTAAGAGCATCTCCAAGAAATTCTTTAAAAATGAGATATTTAGAGAGTAAACTTTTAAAATCATCCTCCAAGAAATTCTTTAAATTTACGTGTTAATTAAATGCATTCAAAATATTTCAATTTTCAATGTAAGAAAATAATAAAATAATTTAAAGAAAAACTAATTAAAGTAAAAGATAGAAAAAAATGATAAATATTTTATGGGAGTGGCAAGATTAAGTGTTAAATATAAAGAGTTTATTGGAGTACTTTAAAATTTTTTTAACACCCTAAATTTTTAGATGTTCTCCAAATGATAGAATATGCTCTTTAAAAATAGAGAGTCTCTAGGAGATGCTCTAATAGTCTTAGTACTAGAGTAAAACATGATTTTTAATTGCAAAGATAGCAGCATCAGGCAGAAACTAAAGTGACACAGAGGAGACAACTATCATACCGTAGTCCATTTTATAGTTGTTAAGGTACAATACGTGCGTAATCGTAAAAGCAACCAGTGGGGCAGCAACCATGACCCTTGCAGCTTCATCTCTCACACTAAAGCTTCTCACTATGGCCAAAAGAAGTGAGTATCCGAGTAAGGCCACTGCTGATGAGTAGTCTAGCTTTTCTGTCAAGCTCACATCTCTGCCATTTGGAGATTCGTAAAACCGTTATGGCAAAAAAATTTTACAGCATTGACTTGACAGCAGCCAGGTTGTGTGTGAAGGGCTAAAAGACAGGAGCAAGTTTGACTAAGCTTAAAAAGTTCACTTATAAGTAAATAAGTTTTAAAATAAATTAAGTTGTTTTATTGGTTTAATAAGTAAATATAAAAAAGTATTTTTACTCGTTAAAGTAGGGATGAGTAAATTACTTATTTTGACGTAGTCAAAAGTAACTATTGAAACAAGTAACTTTTTTACATAAAAAAGTTGTACATAACCAAACTTATCTGTAAACAGAATTTTTCCTACTAATGTTTAAGCTTAGCAAACATGCCTGACTGGTTAAAGCAAATTGACATGATATGAGACCTTGTTGTCTCCTCTCAGCTAATACAATGACATAAGAGATTGCAAACATGGGCAATAAAATGAGAAGTACAATGCTCACCGACTGTGGAAGACTGCGCTCCAGAACCATGAATTCATGGACAAGAACCCGTAGAAATGCCACAAGCCAGTGTAATCATAGTATGGTCTCTTATCTGGTTTTAGTGGCAACTTGTAATAAAGAAGGATGAAAAAAGAAAGCCAGCCATGGAAATGCATTGAAAGGTTGAGAGCTGAAAGAGCGACAGAAACTGGCTCCTGAATGATTTTAGGACATTAATTCAGATGCATGCTCAAAATGCGTAACAAAGACACTAAAGTGGGAATTCTGCTAAATTCCAAATGTCTATGAAGGCCACAAGTTTGTAGAGTTACAGACCTGGAAACCATACAGACGTCGGAAGGGCCACTTGCCATGATATTTAAAAGGCCTGTAACCAAGTTCTGCTCTTTCTTTTTCCCTATCAAGCATACAATGGTAACGGCAATCACTTTGGCAATCCCATTGTTTCCACCGCAAGTAAAGAGGCTCTTGCATGTACCAAGGGCCATCAAGGGACGAACCATCCGAGGAGAATTTGCAGTGTGGAAAGCATCTCTCCCCAACACATCCAGTCTTCTCACATTGTCCTACACAATCCCTGAAATCGATAGAATACCAAAGTTTTTTTAAAAAAATAAATAAATAAATCAGAGTTGATATTATTTGACCTATATACAAAAATCCAGAAAAATACCTTCTGGATTTCAGAAAGAGAGGAACAGAATATGTTCCTCCAACATTTAGTTTTTTCACTTCTATGTTCAGGAATAAAATGAGATAAAAAATTTTACACCGTGGGATGCCAAGAATGTCAATTCAAAGCATGCTGGAAAATAGAGTTGTCAGACCAATATAAATTACATATAATTTTAGATGCGAGTAAACTGGCTGTTCAGCAGGAAAGTTGAAAGCACAAAAATACATATCGAAGTTTCAATAGTTTCTATTGATCAAAGAATCTTCAGATATGTCTTCCAGTGAAGAAAAACAACACTTTTTGCACAACAGGAGGATGAAAGGGGGATCTCGATCCAGCTGAAGACAACCATAAACAAGTCAAAAAGAACAAGCTTTGAGCAGCTTATTTCATCAATAAATTAAGACAGTTGACAGTCAAGGTCGTCCCTCAACACAAACATGAGTCAACGAAAAATCACAAAATCAAATTTAGGGCTTGTTTGAGTCATATTATTCCAAAAAAATACATTCTTAAACAGTGATTTGACATCATTTCAACCACACATTCTTCAATAAAATAATATTACACGCAGATCAAAAAAATTTCCTTATTTTTTAACCACACATTTCCCATCAATACACTATTCAAAATGCATTATTACCAAAATAATGTGGCTCAAATATTCCCTTAGGTAATATTGTAGAAACAAAATAAGTAAATGAACTTCATGGGAAAAGATTACCGATATAATGGGTCGGCATCACCAGCACTAGCATCAAGTGCTCTAATAAGGCAGGAGTACACTAGAAAGAAAATGATCCAATAATGATCTGCCATCTGATCAGTGAATATTACACAATAATTTAGATGACCATAAGTTGAAAAGAGAGGATCAGAAATCTAAGAGGCACTATAATTTGGTGTGATGTTATGCTATTGATTACAATATTTTGATTGCATTCTATGGTTAGTATTCACACAGATAGTACAATGATTGAATGAAGAATAGAAGATTGGAAAATTAGAGAAGTAATACCAAAGAAAATATCAACAAAAATATAAACCACAGTGCATTTCTAGCTTATGCAATACATTTGAAGTTTCGCCATGTGAGGAAATTTAACAGTAGTTCAAATAGTGCACAAGATTTTTCAGAAGACATAGGACCATGGGATTTTGAACCAATGCAAGGGATAGATTCTCATATATCAACATTAAACAATGTTCACTGGATTGAACCCTACCCACACACACGTGGAGAGAGAGAGAGAGAGAGAGAGAGAGAGAGAGAGAGAGAGAGAGAGAGAGAGATCACGGTTACGATAATGGATAATACGGAGGAAGCTCAATGTTAGAGGGGAGGCACATACATAAGCCTGTGGCCACCAATTTATATTCACCTATCAACCCCCTAGCTTGAGCCCTAAATCAGGAGAGTTAAAAAGGACAAGAAACAATCTTCCAATTTTTTTTCCCCAAAAGAAATTGAGCACAGTCTAGGAATTACTTATTAGTATCCTGTTTTAAAATGATTAAGCTTTCCAACTCAAAACGACGAAGTGCATAACATTTCAAAGGATAGGGGAATAACACTCTTTAATCACTTGAACTAAAAAGGAATAGAAGTTTGCATATAGGCATAACTTCAATTTTTTATGATTTGGTCCTCCGACCTTCACCCCACCCCAAGGAAAATTAAAAAATAAATAACATCAATCACTTTGACAGGGACGGCCTATTTACATTCATTACTGTTATACTATTCTTGATTGAGTGGTTTTAAGCAAATGATAAAGAATAATCATTGTAGTCCGTAGAAAATAAAGATGAGGTAATTTTGAAATTTTGACAACATGGCACATATATACTTTTTAATCCATGCCATCTTATTTAAGAGAAGGGCATCACCTTCAGGTAAATTCTATCTAGAAACTTAATACCTTCAGGTCAACTCTATAGCTTCTGCCGTTTTTTATCCATTCTCCACGTTCCTACTCTCTTCAGAAATGACCAGATTTTCTCCTAAAAAACCGTAGCGTGGGCCAAGATAGTTGATAAGTTGTATACATTCCCTGATTTTAAGATAGAAACTTTTGGTTTAAAAAATATGATAGAAGTTAAAAGTTTTTTATATTTAAGAAACAAGGGAGGGTATAAAAGGTTTGGTCGGCATACATGAAAGATTGGATTCTTAAGATTCTAATTTCCAAATTCTTTTATTCAATTCCATATTTAGTACTTGTTGGCTGCATTCACCCCATTTATAAAATAAATCAACAGTTAATTGTACAATTGCCTGTTCCTATCATTCAACTGCAAAAGAATGTAGTGTCACCATTTATGTATATCATTCAACTACAGAAAAAATGTTTATTTGGAATTTATATTACAATTGGCGAACCCAGCTAGAACCATTGTGTACCAAATAAGTCATTTATGTAGAGTGGCAGAGATCTTATATACCCCCCCCCCCCGGGGGGTGCATTTTCCTGAAACTAATATTAATTAAGAGATTTGATCCTCAATAATTTTTATAGTTCTTAGCCAGAGAGGTCTTTAGCAATCAAGAAAAGAGGGTTATGAATAAACTAAGCCACAGACTTTTCGTTTAAAAAGGCATAAACATGAGTCAGATTATGCTTTCCCAATTAAAACCCTAATTGAATTCCAAGAACCAAGAAGGTTAAGTTCTCTAAATATCTCAGTTAAAGACCATGGATATAAACTACAAGTCTTCGTTGAAGTTGTTATCACTGATCTGCTTGTTCATAAGTCTAACAATTATATTTCAACGAATGTACTTCATGTTGCAGGAGAAAATATGTAACAGACTTATGTAAACTGTGTAGAATTCTATTAATTTTTCATGCTCGACGTATACTTGAACAAACACAACAATAATAACATGAAACACAAAGACTTATAATTTGCTTTCATGGTTTGTATGTATGAGAATTCGTCAATGTATGAGAATTCATCAATGTCAAGTAATTAACACCACTAAATACATATTGATGTGATTTTACAACTTCTAAATTAAAGCTCGAAGGATAAATCCCTTCTAGAAACCATGTTGTACTTCCTAATAAAGGCTTCATAACAGCGCCTCTCAGAATTAAAGTATCATGTCTCATTAAGGCCCGTTTGATTCTCATTTTTGGAAGAATGAGAATGAAAAATATAGTTGTTACGGGACTCAGATAAGAGATAGAAAGTCAAATATGGTGATTTGATGTGATAGATAACAATCATATTTTTCATTTTTGTGGCCAAAGAATGGGAATCAAACGGGGGCTAAATATTATTATGCCTTGCCAAAGACTTAAAGTAGTACCAGTCACAAAAATCTATATGAAGATATGCCAAAAGTAACAGTGAACGAGATGATATCCCACATTGCTGAATTGTTAGATAGATGACAATGAACCCCACTAACCAAGATTAAGACCCTAAGACAAAGGATACCTAACAATTCTTTAGTTTTGATCTGTTGAACAATCAAATCACCATTCAGAGCGATAAATCAGACTGAAAAGTTGCTTCACCAATTAAATAATTAATTTCAGTTCTTTTACTATCTTAAAGCCAAAAGTAAGCTCAAATCTGCCTTGTTAGTATTATTGTATCAGATTATTTATAATCTCCCAATCATAACATTTCAGCAGAAGAATCAAGAAATCATTTATATTGAAGTTCAGTGACTAAAACTTAATCACTGATTCCCCTGAATCCCTTCCAGCACAACAATCTATACTCTACACAATAACGAAAGATGGTAATCATTTGATTCAACGCTAACATAAACGTAAAAACGAATCAAACACTCAAGTGAACGGGTCCCTTTCATGATTTAGGTTTTATGCTGGAAAAGATCCACCCAATTTTGATTTACACAATTCCGACGTAAATCTAGTGACGGGAAACAAAAATATATCTACTTGGGGAATATATGATGAAAGCAGATCGAAGGAATGTGCATAAAATACCTTATTCATGGATATATCAAATTTGAGAGTTGAAAGAAATCGCATTTCGTGAGAGAAATTTTACTCTGAGATAAATAGTTGGAGATGGGGGATCGCTTTACTCTCTGAGCTGGAAGATCCCAGAAATGATGGAGAGACTCAACATCTAACACCACTCTACGATAAATTAAAAAGTTTTTATACACTTTCAAACGTATTAAGCAAAAATTATCGATCAATCTAACCGTCAATTTTCTCATGACGATGGCCAAAAAAAAAAAAAAAAAAAAAAAAAAAATTCATGAACAAAATTATTATTTTCCCTTTTAACCCCTAATGATTTTCATGTCGTATACCTTGAATTTTTATTTATTTATTTTTTAATTTTATAGTCAATAATTTAATCATAATTAGAGGTTTAATAATTATACTTTGTGTTAAGAAATATAAAATGCAAGCATTTTCTCTATCGGTTGAGTTAGACCAAGACATTTATTTTCTTTTCAAAACTTACTCATTCAGAGTCATTAGTGAAAAATATAAATAATGTATAAGTTTCCAAGGGGGATTATGAAATATGTGGTAAAAATTAAGCGCCCGCCATCTAGTATTTAAAAATGTCAAATAATCTAGTTTATTTACTAATGTTTTGCATGAGTCCTACATTAAATTATTTATGTATATTATTTCGTGATTTGAAGTCACCAGTACGAATAAAGTAATAAGGCCTTCAAACTTAATATAAACATTTAAACAAACTCTCTTTTTACTGCCTTGATGAAGGTCAACTCAATGTAATCTTCACTAGTCTATATTTTTCATGTAACAAATACGAATTGGGTAAGTTAAATTGCGATATGAAAGGTTGAGATCTAGACTATATATGTGTTTGTTGCATTTGTTCGATCTTAACTCTTCACAGTACAAAGACATAGTAAATTTAGAGGGTTTTTGTTAGGGATTAAAATTAAATTTTTTAATAGATTGTGATAGAATTTTTGAAATGTGTTATTGAAAAGTTATGGAACTCATAAAAGATGTGGTTAATATCGATTATTTGACTTTAGTTTAGATTAAAATCCTTTCCAAAAGGAGAATTTAGTGTAGCCCAAAGAATTTCATTTATATTTGATTCCACCGCAAATAAGTATTATAGGCATCCAATCACCCACCTCGGTTGAAGGCCCCAGTTGACAATGGGCATACTTGTAATGTTGGCTACATGTGTCCACTTCGAACAACAAAAGATTCTAATAACATTCGAGTCGACTTAATTCATCTTAATTAAGTTCGGCTTACTGTTATTACCAAACTTCCCTGTTGGGTTCGTATGACTGACCCCTTGATTAGCACAACTGAGTAGAAATCATTTTTTGGAGAAATGCCGCCCAACCACCGAAGATCGAGAGAGATAAGGTAGGATAGATGGCAAACCTATGATCTAAAAGGTGATTGTACCACTGTTGCCACCATAATCCTCCAATCAAAAGTTACTAATCTAGGCCCCGTTTGGGAGGGATTTTGAGAATTGATTTTTTGATCGTTAGAAGAAAAGTGAGGTCCATCTATGAGAAAAGAAGTAAAAAATTACGGTTGGAATAATAAAATAACGGTCAAAAAACTAATTTTTTGAGGTAAAAAATTCATCTCAAATAAGCTGTCAACATGTAGCACGCGAATCAATGTTGATTGTAGTAGCTATGAATGACTATGACGGCTGACAATTGTATAAAGTGGGAGAAGCTTGTTCCAGATCCAGGCTTGAGGACAAGCTTAAAAACAGGGGGCTGAGGTGCACCCACCTCAGCCCTTGATTTCCCTTGAATCAATTGAAATCAAGGGCTGAGGCGGGTGCCACCTCAGTCCCCCGTTTTTAGGCCTGAATGAGAGCATTTTTGAAAGTGGGAACCCACCTCAACCCTTAATTTCCCTTGAATCAATTGAAATCAAGAGCTGAGGTGGTTGCCACCTCAGTCTCCTATTTTTAGGCCTGGATGAAAGCATTTTTGAAAGTGGGAACCATTGCTCATCTAAGGAAACAATAATTCAAATTCTCTCTCAACAGTACACTTGTATACCTACCTTTCTCCGACCTAGCTACATTTCCATTTCCAGTTTTCAAAATTTTCGTTTAAGTTAAATCAAGAGGTGCCACGACATTTGACTCCAACAAATATATATTGATTTTAATATTTCACACAATTAATTACCTTCCTATTAATGCTAACTCTTGCTAATAAGTAAAGTATGCATATGGATGGATGCTCTATTAATACATATGGGCCAATACTGGTGTGATAACCGAAGCAGATTTAAATGGAAATATCATCACAGTTTACGATGGAGCTAAGATCTCCCCTATCCGGATATGAAGGGTAGAATATTTCTTGAAATGGCCCTTGAATCACTGAGTCTGAGTTGTAGTGTTGTTGGTTTCCAGTGTTTTCACCATGAGTCCAACAGGGCTTCTTCTCATTACTGAAACTAATGTAACTATGATTACTTTGATCTGCAGACTCCTCGTCGTACAAGTTCCTCTTAGCAGGCACTTCTCTCCATTCTGGTATGCATTTTTTGTACGAAACATTTCGCTTGAAAATTCGACAAAGGGTCCAAACTTCCTGCAAAACCCGTTAATGCACAGAATTAGGGCAATCTGATACATGTATGGATTATTCATTGTGGTCGAGCTTGCACACGGTCCAACAAAAAGGATAAAATACTCGACATGTGAACTAAAAACTATTGAGTAAATTAGGGGGTGTTCTCTTTGTGTTTCAGTTTTGTGTTTTGAGTTTTGAATTCATTTTGAGTTTTTGTTTTGAAATTCTTGAAAATGCGTTCTTTTTGTTAGTTTCTCAAAACAAAAAAAAAAAAAAATTTTTTTTTAAAATTTTGAGAATCACCACAACACCCCCTCAAAACACAAAAA